ATAATATAATAAGTTTGTTTTCTAATTACCCTGAAAGTAGGAATTGTTGTGCTTTTGTTTATATCTACACTGGGAACAGGTCCTCATCCATGGAGATGCCATGTTATGCCACCATGTTTCTACAGTAGCCCACAAACACTGGCTCCAGGGCCATTCATGTTTCATGTCAATCATCACAGTTGGAGGGCCCTTGCGATAAGCAGCATTGAAAAAACACACATTTTTAAATGTGAAGCAGCTTTGTTCAGTGTTTTTACCGGTTTAAATCAACTACCCATGTGTTTTGGAGAAGAGGAGACCTCTGCAGATATTTTGACTCCTGGTAAAACCTCCCGAACAACAAACACTGAAGGAAATCTAACCGAGAGAAGTTTCAGCTGGTTGCAATCTGCAGTACTCACCACTAAATGCCCCTAAATCCCTCTAAATCTACCACACTGTACCTTTAAGTACAATTTTAAGGTACTTGTAGGGGAGACTGGGGTTGGTTGGTGCACTTTTAACTCTGTGCTGTTTTTGTCTGTAATTATTTATGTTAGAATATGCAACCAGCAGCAAATAAAAATCAGAGCTTTCAGCTATAAATATGTTTTAATGTCCACAAATGTTTTCTTAAATTAGGTGATTCATGATTAAAGTGATATTGTCCATCAGGGGGTTTCTTAAAATGATAAAATGCTATTGTTGCAAAAAGAGAAGCAACCAGTTGACACAATTTGAACATTTGATTTAAACAGGAACCAGAAAACATGAACATTGAATTGAATATCTGTCCATTTATTAACACATTTTAATTTTAATTTTATCAGAAGGAATATCTAATTACTTTTACCATTGACCATTCAACGTAATAATAATTATGAACGGTCAGAATAGTTTTAATCTCTATAAATACCCCAACAAAATATACTGTACATGCGCTAACCAACCCTGCTCACATTGGACCCAACTCTGTGATGAAATTATGTTTGCCAGCTGCCATCCCTCATCACAGACTTTCAAATCTTATATCAAAATGTTGTCGATTCCTTTCTTTATTAACCAGAAGTAACACATTTCCAATATGTCAGTTTTACAGTCTAATAAATTGGTTCACAGAGCACTTCTTTACTTTGCACACTATAAAAATAAAATGTCAGTCTCATCAGAAAACATCAGTGACTTTCAGATGTTTTAACATATAGATGAGTGCAGGTGAAGAAAGCAAACATTTTGATGTTACATTTCAGTTTCTGTGAGCTTCAAATCAAGCAGTACTTCTACTTTGCTGCATTTCAGTAGGAAACATTGTTCTTTTCACTACCCTACATTTGTCTCTTCCTACTTTTTAGATAAACATAAAGATAAACATATTATAATGTCATGAAATACACCACACTGTTAAAGAGTATACCACTCGTTCCTTATTTTCTCTGCTTGTGTGTGTAGTTGGAGCTTCTTGTCACATTTCAGATGTCTATAAGTTGTTCGCACTTCCACTAAAGACACAATTCCCCTCTTACTCCCCTCTTAAACTTTCACATGGTTTCATTTACAAACCTGTTGAAATGATGCAATATTTTAAAAAAAAAAAAGAGAGAGAGAGAGAGAGATAAGAGAAACGCCAAGAAATGAAGGAAAAAAAAAATCTGTAGCATAAATATTTTCCCCTTTTTTCTTCCCACTCCATTAATCATCTCATGGCTCCTCAGATCAGTCTGGGAACCGCTGGAGTAAACTCCTGAACAGCTAGCTCCACTCCAGCCTGCTACAACAGTAAAATACTGTTTACAAATTGATTCATCAGTGCTAAAAATGTAATAATGTCATAAATACTTTTACTTTTGATATTTTAAGTCAGGGATGTTGAAAGTTTTGTTGACTGGGTGTCCATTAAAGGAGCCAGCATATGAGCGCAACACAGGAAAAGTGCAGTGCAGTGCAGTGAATTGCCCACCCAAAACACCAACTTAAGCTAACAGCACTAGCATTGATGACAGAGCATAATTGTGCCAACACTAATGAGGTGCCACTTGTTGCCAGGCAGCATGTAGCTTTCTACATGATGTCATCCCTATCAAGACAGATGCTTGTTAGGGGATGCAGTTTGATGCAGTCTCTTAGTAGTGTATTAAATGTAAGGTATTAAAAGTGAATGTACTGAGAAGGACCGTGAATAATGAAAATACGATGCAGGCGCTTCACGCCATGTGCGGCGGCTGCATGAAAGGTTTCCAAGGGCCACCATTTGCCTACAGCCTGCACTTTAAAAGAACAGCTCAGCCACAAAATGACCATTTGTATATCACCGTCACGACTTGAATTTGTGAAGAAAACTTTTCTTGCATGCCTCCACGGTAAATGGCAGACATACTGACAGATTGATCGACTGGGGATTGCAAAACTCTCATACAACTCATGCAGTATGATCCAAGTTTCATTTATCCAGTCGAATGTCGTAGTGTTTCCATGTATTTAACTAAAAAACCTTAGCATTGCAGCCTGGCCTTGAAGAGAGTATAGATAAGTTGCACTGTCAGTTCAGTTTTAAATAGTAATATTTAAGCAAAAATGCATGTGTTTACAAGAGTTGTGTGAGAATTATGTTGTTGTTTTTTTCATGTAGTTTTACTGTTGTTTAGTGTGGCCCCCAAGCATGTTCACTGTTTTCTGTGGAGGCATGCAAGAAAAAAAGGTTTATTCACGAAATTCAAGGTACCACAGCACGACTAACTGATCTACAAGTGGTCATTTCATGGGTGCAGTATGCCTTTAAGCAACAATTCTTTGAGTATATTTTTCTGAAACGTTGCTGTATTGGTACCTTTGCTTAAATTGGCTGAGTGTTTTTTAATTTTGATTCTTATTTTTGTCAAACTGACAACAGTGTTGTCATCTGTTTTCATTCATTTAAGTATGTTTGAGACTTATAATAATTATTGAAGGCTATACCTCGACAGTGGATCATCCCAATAGCTCACAGCAAGGTAAAAATGTCACAGGGAGGTGAATTTTGGTCATTTTGGTCCGCCCTCAGATCACCTGCTGCTCATACGTCACCTGCAACCAGTTACCTCAGGTTTTAGAGTAATGAAATCTAACCTGTGGGTCACTTGCCTTCATAAATTAAAACACAAACTCTTGGCACCACAGAGAAGCAAACAGTGATCGTGTCCTCCCCAAGAGCCAAGGTGACAGACGGATATCAGCCTCGGGTAACACCAACAGAGTAAGGAAGGTAAAGGAGAGGGGCCAACGATACGTAAGAAAAGGAGGGAAGGACAGTGAGATGGTGTCAGTTGCTCTTTTTTCCCTTCACATTAAGCGTCCTTGACACAGGTGTAATGATACTACTCTTACTCTTGTCTGTTTTTAGTGCTGCATTTACCTTAGATCCACACAGCACGGCCTGCGGTGCCCCTTGCAGGTACATAAGATGTTTGTCCTCAACATGATCCTGGGCTGAACCTAATCTCCCCACTGGACCTTTCCTCCTAACCTTTTCACTCTAAGCTGGCATAATAATATATCCCCTTTTAGCGAAATGGAGCACTAAACATCCAGACAAATTACCAAACCACTGAAACCACAATCAAGCTCTCGCAGTTAAAAGATTCATTGTGCTCAAAAGTGCTCTCAATCAGTCACTTCGGCGTCTGTGAAGAGGCTGCTTCCTCAGGGACGATGAGGCAGTTTGGCGCTTTGATCACATCCTTTCAGAGCACACATCGCTGACACAAACACCTTCACATTTCTGCTGTTAATGTTGTTGATTTATTGGGATCAGAGAGACGCCCACAGGGGATCTCCAGCATCGAGATCCAGGACCTTTTTATTCTTAACCTGTTTCACAATGCTGGAACAACAGGTCCCTGCATATATCAAAAGACATCAGTAAGAAATGTAAAGCAGGTGTGTGTGCTCGTATAACTTCTTCTTCTTCAGTTCCCTGCCAACAACTACAAGCTGACTTCCTTTAAATCTTTGAAGAGACATAAAAATGGCAAAACTCTAAAAATATAAAACAGAAGACAAAACTGGATCTTAGTCTAACCATATTTTATTGTCATTGTTGCAGATCAGAGCTCCAAATGATTTCCAGCATTTCTCTGAATTAAGAGTCAAATGTTTAAGTTACATTTAGAATTCATCATGAAAAATATGATTTCAGTCAATATAATAAAGTTACACTTCTCAGCTTGGTGTTCTGCCTCTCAGCACCAGGGGGCGTTAAACCTCACAGGTGGGACTAAGTCATTGTCATGCAAGTCTCAAGCAAGTCTGACGTCTTCGCACTCAAGTTCCAAGTCTAGTCCCAACTAAAAGTAGGCAAATCCTGAATCAAGTCCCAAGCCGAAGCAGGCAAGATCCAAATCAAGTCCCAACTAAAAGTAGGCAAGTCCTGATCAAGTTCCAAGTCAAGATTGACAAGTCCCAAGTCAAGCCCCAAGTCAAATCAGGCAAGTCCCAAGTCAAGTCCCAAGTCAAAGCAGGCAAGATTCAAATCAAGTCCCAAGTTAAAGCAGGCAAGTCCCAAATCAAGTCCCAACTCAAATTAGGCAAGTCCAGAGTCAAGTCCCAAGTCAAGACTGACAAGGTCCATGTCAAAAACTGACCAGTCTCTAATCTGGTCAAGTCAAAGCATGCAAGTCCTAAGTCAAATCCCAACTAAAAGTATTTAAGTCCCAAGTCAAGACTGATATGGGCCAAGTTGAATCTCAAGTCAAAGCAAGCAAGTTCTGAGTCAAGTCCCAAGTCAAAGCAGGCAAGTCAAGTAAAAAGTCGAGTCTGACAAGTCCCAAGCTCTGAACATTATGTTTCAGGTCATAGTGCACTCTTCACCAAATGTAATGCCGTTTTAACAATATGTAAAATTTACAAATATATATATCTATATCTATATCTATATATATAGATATACTTTAAATACAAATTTAAAAAAGCACTCATGATATTTTTATATATATATACACATATATATATATGTATATATATATAAAATATCATGAGTGCTTTTTTAAATTTGTATTTATTTGTTAAATTTGTTTTTTGTTGACCATTGTGTAATTTGTGTACACAAACAAAATTCTCTCCTGCAACTTGACTGGATGCTGATTGGGTCAAACAAATGGATCTGGGGAATAAAGTGTCGACTTGCTGGAAATGAATAGCATTAATGATAGTTCATTCAGGAAATGATTTGATTTGTGGTACACTTTTTAAAAAACATACTTTTTCATCTTTGCACTGAGGGGGAACATATCAAGAAATGCTCAAGTCTATTTAAATTCACTAGTCATTGATGTTAAAGTCCAAGTCAAGTTGCAAGTCTTTTTTTGATTCTGTTAATAAATTTGTGACTCAAGTCTGACTCTAGTCCAAGTCATGTGACTAGGGTCCACACCTCTGTTAAACCCTGAGGGAGAACAGCATTCCTTTTAAGCAAGAGAGGTCTGAATGAACATTATTAAAAAGAGAGAAAGATAGATTTTAATGCTGATATTTAAAGTTCTGTCTCGTGTATTTTATTGCAATGTTTGCCATTAAGTTCTTGCACTTGTATCTAGAAATGACCCCAATTTGTAGAAGTTTGACAAAACCCATTAATTTTACCATGTTACCTTTACACAAATCACCATATTTAGCAGGTTTATCTTGCGGATACTTTCCAGAATTAACAGGCTTGTTTAGCTAAAAAATAAAGATGAAATGTAGTCTCAGGTCTCGCCATGAAAAGCACTAACTGCTGTGAAGTCATGGTCCTTCAAGCACATTGCATCAGGGTGAATCACTCACTCTTCACAGTGCAGATAATACAGTGGAAACAACTCCCTCATTCACAGTAAAACAGAGGAAAACCTCAAGGGGCAGTGGTTACAGACAACTGACAAGTATAAGAGCATAAATTAGAAATACGCTGTGAGCACAAACATTAAACAGCTGGTCTTTGTTCACATCTTGATGAGTGTAATGATATGCTCTGTGCATGGATTTTACCAAAGATCAGTTTTGATAAAAGAAGAGAATTCTTTGTGTTGGCATGTTGGTGCAGTGTACCAGCACATCCACCAGAGGGAGAAAGAGAGCGGCAAACTACTGAGTTGCACTCTGTCAAAATGCTTTATAGTAAATTTCACTTAGTTACAACAACAAAAATATTGTGTGTAGCTTCTAATAGAGCCACATTGGATAATTAAAACATCACATCTGTGTATGAGTCTTGGTCTCGTCACATTTCATCATTAAAAGTGCCTCGTCGTCTGTGCTTCCCCCTCGTTCACATGCAAAACAGCAGCTTAGATGTTTTGCATCAGCTGCACATCAAAGTAAAATTAAGACAGCATCCAGAGAGACAGTGAGCTGCAATTGTTTTCTGATCATCAAATAAAAATAACACATAAAGCAGGGTCACACAGTCAAGTTACACAGCGAGACAGAGCAGTAGAAGTACACATTGATCAGAGAGGTGAGGTCTCGATTGATTTTTGGAAACATTTTGTCCATGCAGGCCCAGGGGTGTGTTTGTTTTGTATACCTAAGCCGGGGCAGGGTGGAGTCAGTGGACGCGAGGCACTGGGTGCAGCAGAGTCATGTGCTCAGCGCCGTTGAAAGGCAGACGCTGAGTGCAGTAGTGGTGCACCACCTCTGGGATGCTGGGGAACACACAGCTGCTCTGGTCCAGGGTGTAGCCGTTTTCTTTGGTCTGAGCAACGATGATATGAACGCAGCCTTGGCTCGTCCTGAGTCACACACAGAGGGGAGGAAAGGAGAGACAAGAATTTAAACATTTTACACACAATTCAAAGCAGATGCAAGACTGTGATAATAATATATTCTCTTGATATGTGTTCTCAGCCTGAGAGATATGTCATGAAAACATATCGTCTGTGTCAAATTAAAACAGGAATTACTCTTGTGTGATGCAAGTTTGATCATACTGATGTCACTTACTAGTGTGCTTAATGTTCATTAAAAGAATACCTCACCCACAATATAGCCATTTATAAATCAATAAGTAATGCCATGTAACCTTGAATTTGTGCACAGCCTCCAAGGTAAACAGCAAACACATTGATTTGATTGATTGGGAGCCACATTTAACAACAGCAAAATTATACCAAAACATCAGTTTACAAACTCTCTCACACAACTGGAGCAGAATAATCCAAGTCCCATTTTTCCAGTTGTATGCTCAGTACTTCCCAAATGTATGCATTTATGCTTATACGTTACATTTAAAATTGAACCAAGAGTAAAACTTATCTATGCTCTCTTCAAAGCCAGATTCCAAAAATTTTTTTTTGCAAAAATACATGTGTTTGGGAAGTTCTGAGCATACGACTGGTTAACTGAGACTTGGATTACACTGCACGAGTGGTGTGGGAGTTTGTAATTTGATGTTTAGATATAGTTTTGCTGTTGTTAAACTTGGTCCCAAATGAATCAACTAATCAATTTGTTTGCTGTTGTCAAAATTTTCCTCACAAATTCAAGGTAACACAGCCTGACTAACTGATTTACAAATGTTTTTTTTGTGGGTGAAGTACACCTTTAACATAAAGTAAAAAAAAAAAAAAGTTAAAATATAAAACTCATTCCCCATGAAGATGTAAATGTTTATGACTACTAAAAGTGGTCATAAAAATATACTTTCTTTTGTATAAAAGGCTAAATTATTTCATATAACAGCTGGGCACTGTAGTTTTTAGCAAACATAACTCAAACAGGGAATTTGTGAGGGACTATTTTTTATCTGTGGACTGATAAACAGATGTGCTCTAGTAAGTATTTACTGCTGCAGGGCAGTATATGTTGGATTTAAGATGAAATAGTTGTTGGCTCTGTTTTTTAGAGGGAATAGTTGACAAAAAGGAAAATATTGAATATACAGACAGCATTAGCCTTTAAAAAGTTATCGTACATGTGAAAAAAATATAAACTAGGACATACATTTCTTTAATCTGCTGAGTTTACAACTGGACTGTAATATATTTTAATGTTTTTAAAAACTACTAAAAAAGTATTATTTCAGCCTTTAAGTCACTACTGTTGCACTTTCAGTTTGTACTCACTTGAGGGCGATGGAGAACTTGCTGTTGTCCGACTCGCTGTTCCTGACCAGGAAGCTGGCCTCTTTGCAGGACTGCAGCTGAAACTCCGCCTCCTGACGCGTCACACAGCCATGGTACCAGCTGAGGCAGAAGGTGGGAGTGGGGGGGGGGGGTAAATTTCATCTGCTTCTGATCAAGTTCTAGAACCTCATTTCATACAAACCCCTTGGAAATGAGCTGTACTCTTACGTAACGCTGAAATCTATTAAAAATCTGGGAGTGAGTTTTATTGCAAGAATAAGAAACACATGCAGACACATTCTGATATATATCATATTTGAATTCCTTTTAAAACTAACAGAATTAAATATCTAAGCTTTATGCATCTACAGGGACGTCCCACATCGTGGTCTTTGCATCACTTCACCTCCTCACCTCTGTTTATCCAGGGGCAGGGAGGGGTCAACACAGCAGGCCTCAGTTTCAGGGTTGCTGCCGGGTGTGGAGGGTGGCGACGATGTCGGAGGAGAGGATCGCAGGATCTTCTGGGTCCAGCTTTTCTGCCTCAGATGCTGCTGCTGCTGCTGCTGCTGCTGCTGCTGCTGCTGTGGCTGAGCTGGGGGATGTTGCGGCTGCCTTGTGAGTGTGGGGTGAGGCGTCTCATCTTTGGTTTGGCGTTCGGGGCTGTCAAACTGTGCTGCGGGAAGAGGAGAGACGAGAGAAGATTTGAATCCGTGTAAAGAAACAACTGACGGAGTTTGAACTGGGTGCTGAAGCCTCCAGTAAATATAGAATAAGAAGACAGACAGCAGTTTGATGATTCATGCAAGATGTTATTCCGTATGCTGTTGGTCTGTGCACCATATAAAATATAAATGTGAGAGCAGGCCTGAGTTGTTATTTTTAAGAAATATTCTTCATATTGATCTAAGGCAGAGAACAGCTAGGGTTGGAGCTGTTTTATATTAATGTTAGTGGTTACTAGTTCAGCAAAACTGTTGCCAGTATCACAGTTTAATAAGAGATAGCCTGAAGTCAGTGGTGTATTTCTTTTTGTTGCTTTTTAAAGCATTTCTATTTGAGGTACAAAGATAAAAAATAAGAAAAGATTAACAATTTAAAAGTGCAGGAAATTCAGTTTGCACAGAAGCAAAACCTTCCTCTGTGCTGAGCTTGTTCTCCAATATGTGATGTAACCAACGTCTGATGTACCTGACAGAGTTCTGACAATGTGCTCCTTCTTCCACTCCCAGGGCAGCTCGTACTCAGTGGAGGGTCGGGGGTCCAGCTCAGGCCGTGTGACCGCCGTCTTGTCCCCGTCACCACTTCCTTCGTATGGAATGTCATATATCTGCAAGGGCGCAGGCTGACCTTCCTCCACCGTTCCCTCACTGCCCTCCATCAGCACACACACCTTCAGCAGGTCCTTGGACCCACGACGCCTGATCTCTTGCAGGTGGAAAACAAAGGGTTAAAGATTAAAATCAGTGCTGAGAGATGAGTATGAAATCACCACCTGGAGAGGAGTGATGTGTGACGTCACCTGCAACATTACATCAGTAAATGGCAAGGACGTAGACAAGAGAATGAAAAGCACTGGAACAGTCAACATCCACTAGTCCTTTTATTTGTTGCCATGGTAATCGATGTCTAAATCAGTATTCGAAGTGTCAGACACAAATGAGGCCAGTGTCCTCAGTCCAGTCACTGACCCCTGCTTCAAGCACTTAAATTACTATCTTTTGAAAAGAACAGGTGAGAGGAAGTGCAGACGGTTATTTGCAGCTTGCAAATGTAGTACAGTGCTTGCTTTGCATCTCATGATGCAGCCCGGCCCACAGCATTAAAGTTATTAATAACTTACAGAAAAAATAGTCTACCTTGAAATCCCCATCATGTCATGCTGAAGCTTCGGATATTCACACTTAGTTATCACTGAAGTTCAGCAGCCCTGAAGTGATATTCTAGACAACCTGAACATCAACTTTCTGTCAACGTCAGAACAAAACCAGCTACAGCATGGACTGGGAAGGTGTCACAGTCAAGATTATTAACAGGCTGCAAGATTTAATAACCATAATTATGCCACTTGTAATGAGACACTGCTTATAAGGGGTCAGTAAGTTGTATATAAAGGCTTCATCAGTGGTTAATAAATCAATTGCACGAACATATTTTCGGTTGTCAGGTTGTGACAAACCAATCTGCTGGTGTTTATCCTTTTCTTTGGCATAAACGCTGTTATGAATGTTCATTAATAAATGTTAAGTAAAGTGTGAATCAAAATATTTTGTTCCAGAAGACAAGTGGTTATAATCACTCAAGGGATTTGTTTGAACCGTCCTTCCCAGAAGTTCTTCTCATCAATGACTTAAAACGATCAATTATACATAATATAAAACATAAAACATAAACACAACGCCCTAACATCTGGAGCGCTCTCCCTCAGGGTCTGCGCCACTGCACATCTGTTGCTTCTTTTAAGTCGCAACTGAAAACTCATCTTTTTAAAATAGCCTTTTTCTAGTGCTTCATAATTTATTATGAGTACATTCTTTTGTCTCTCTATATATTTCATTACCGTTGTTGTTGTTGTTGTACTTTGTTATTATCATTACTGTTTTTCATTGTCTTTTAATATGTACTGGCAGTCTTAACTGGTGTTGTAAAGTTTCCATGGATGACTTGAAAGGCACTTAAAAAATTTGTGTTATTATTATTATCATTATTATTATAGTAAAGGCTTTATTAACTAATATCAAAGCCAGTTGTTACAGCTGTTAACCCCTTTATAAACGTGGTGCCATTATAGCTAGTGGTCTATGATGATGTCAAATTGTGAATGACGTTACACTGGTGCTGCTGCTGGGTTCTCTCAATATGTTTTTACATGTCAGACTTCAATTTTATTTATCTTACGTTATTTTGTCCCTTGTATGCCTCATTTTCATTTTAATATTTACCGAGTTCTTCTATTTGCGCTCTTCTTTTCTAGCATTCTGTTTAAACAGCAAACAGAGCATTGTACAGCGCAACTCATTACCTGTGAATCATGGTGAAACTATGGTATTATTCAGGGTTTGAGTCTGGTAAACGATGTCAGCTGAGACATAGATTGTTCATAATAATGCTGCCTTGCTTTGCTCGTTGAGTCACAGTGACATCAGACTCTTGCTTACTTCCTCAGTATGATTTAAGCCCCATAAATTTACTCAGCCACATCATCACATTCTCTGTAGACTTCTCTGAGGAGGCCTGGAAGTAGCACAGGCACTGATTGAAGTAAAACCTACTAGAGAGCGCACGGCAATAAAACATTTTCACATTCACAGCGGGCTATTGTGTAACCCTTTTAGTTAAGACAATGGAGTGATGGAATGAAAGGTCAGGGGAGCATGTGATTGGCCGGCGGACCATCAGTCTTCCTCGATGCTGGGAAGTTTTGATAAATGGTCAGACAGGTCCATATAGGGGGTTACACAGAGCTGCGTCCGAGAGGAGGTGGGGGGGGGCAACTTCCTTTTTAGAGAATAGTACCAGGAAACAGAGACAGGAAAGAGGAAGCAGGGGCAGGAAACTGCACCCATTGTCCGAACGCAGCACAGTTGCCACGGCAACCCCGTGGGGCGCAGGGAACACTCGGGGAGCGAGTTCATGTTCTCTCTGCTCGGCCCGCGGGGACTGAAAATGGGATTCATTCACACAGGGGCTCACGCAGCTGTACAGATTCAGTGATTCAGGGAGTGAATGAAATATCACAGCTCTCTCTCTCCATCACACAGCTGACAGCTACAAGAGGAGGCAGTAAGAGCAGACTGATGAAAGCCTTACCAGTGATCATCTGCTGAGCATCGTAGGGCTCCATGTAGCCATCGTTCTCCCCGATCCTTTCTGCCTCCCTTTGCTCTCTGGTCTTTTGAGCATCAAAGGGATCTGCGTAATCCTCAAGGATGATCACCTGGAGCAAAAAATACAGTGAAATAAATTTTTTTTTCATAAATGAGATACTTAAAACTGTGTCAGGCGGCCTTAGGTATTCCCCAACTAGGGGTTATTAATTTCTTAAGAAAACCAAGTCCAAATTCTCCAATTCGAGTTTCCTAAATGTGAATATTTTCCATTTTCTTTCCTCCTCCAGGACAGTAAACTGAATATCTTTGGGTTATGGACAAAACAAGACATTTGAGGACGTCATCTTGGGCTTCGGGAAACACTGATCAACATCTTTCGCCATTTCCTAACACTTTCTAGATCAAACAACCAATCAATTAATCCAGAAAATAATCGACAGATTAATCAACAATAAAAATAATCAGCATTGCAGCCCTGCTAGGGGTACAAATACTTCTGAAGTTCCCAGGAGATAGAAAGACTGCTACCAACTACAACAAGCTGACAGTGCAGGAAACACCCTTCACCTGCAGGAAAGTTGACATGCATGCCTAAAAGTGATGGAAAATTGTTGACTCGTTGAGCTTCTGCTACTCCAAGTTGTACTAGTATGAGTATCTAACCAGTATAAAATCATGACCACCTAAATCGAGACCAAGTCATGACCAAGACCAGATTGCATTGAGACCACGACAAGACCAAAACCAGACCAGTGTGAGTCATTCATTGCATGACACCATTACAAGACTTGTGGAACATACAAACCATAGACACTCATCAAACTGGTCTGAAAGATCCATATTCCCATACAATGAAGATCCCCCTACATTTACCTCTTTTATTGCCAAACTGTATGTGTATGGATAAGTGTGCCATGAGAAATGTGCCACTAACACAGTCAAAAGGCATTGCATAGGTATATTTCATTTGTGGAAATTGTCCTTTGTTGTGGTCTTGGCCTATCTTGAAATTAAATCCAGAGACCTCTTTGTCTGAAACCAAGGCAAGACTGAGTAGAAATGCAGTCGAGTCCAAGACAAGAGCAAGACCTTCAAAAATTGATGTCAAGACCAAGACCAATCTCGGGAACTATGACTAGATCCTACAAGTGTATCTAACCAAACCTACTCAAAGAAAGACTATGGATATTTCCAGGGTCCCTGTATGGTATGAAAACATTTTGCTACATTAATCTACCTTTATATTATTAATAGTGTTAAATATAATCCAGTTTAGAATAGAGCTGCAGCTGCAATTATCTTTTGATTAATCAATCATTTTGTCTAGATAATGTAGTGTAAAATGCTCATTGTATTTTGCCAAATGTCTTGTTGGACCAAACAACAGTCCAAAAGCCAAAGATATTCAATTTACTGTCAGATATAGCAAAGAAAGACAGAAAATCCTCACATTTGAAACGCTAGAAGCGGATTTTTGTAGTAGAAAAAAAAAAAAATCTGAATACTTGCCAATTGGTTTTTGATCAACTGATTGATTAAGCTACAGTTTGAAATTAGTCAAAATGAACATTTTTTTAACATGACAGGTAGTGTGGAGGTCAGGTAAAAAGCAAACAGCTGTAAACTACAAGGCAGGCTTCAGACAGTAAGAGGAATATCTGACACCTCATCAGCTCTTTGTTGTAAAGCCCTCTCTGTTCACATCTCTGTGTTCACAACCTCCATTCTGCTCCACCAGTCATGTCTGACTGTCTCGTCATCTTATCAGTGCCATATAATTTCATGTTTGTTTTACAAGCCACTGGCAAAGAGACATTGGCGCATCATAAAATATAGTTGTCTCTTTCTCTAATCACTTCCAGTCGAGCTCCCTTGCCAAGGAAAAGTTGGCATTAGTTGGTGTTTGAATGAAGTAGCCAAAACTTGAAAAGCTGAGACTCAGAGCGTTGCTGAAGTGTTTAGTTTAGAGAAGTTTAGACGCAGACTGCAACACAGAGACATTTGTTTCTTTGTTAAAGTCTTCCAGTTAGCTACACCTGTGGAGTAAATGTCTTATTCTTGACTAACAAGGAAACTAAGACATATAACACACAGTTAGCTCCACAGTAGCTGCTGCAAACATGAATCTGAGATCAAGAACTGGCATTTACCCCCTTCCTGAAATATAAAACTCCCATTTTTATTCCTCCTCTTTTATGTGTCTCTTTTTCTCACCATCCCTCCATTATCACTACTTCACTATCTTTTTTTTTTTTTTTCAAAGCCAGGCTGGAGGGGACTTGGGTTAGCACCCGAGTGTCGAATGACACGATGCTTTTTATAACATGATAGCCCTCTTCACCAGGGGGCCTGAATATAGTGAAAGAGAGGGATGAGGTGGAGGGAGGAGGGGGGGTGAGAGAAGGGGAACACTGAGCCAGATTACACACAGGAGAGGAAGGTAAGGCTTCACGTCTGACCACAGCTTTGTATTCAAGGCGAGGGAGGTGGGTGTAAAGACAAGGGGTGGAGAGGAAGAGAAAGAGAGATAGAGAGACAGAATAGGAGGAGTGGACACAATGGATATAGTGGTGACAATGGGGAGAAACTGAAACAATAATATCAATTTTCAGAGCTTCTTGCTAGTTCATTGTCGACAATAGTGATGACACCACATGTTATTTTTGTAACACTGCTGCTGGAGTAAAGGGAAGCTGACACAGATGGAATTAATTCTGTTATAATTTCACATCTAAACATTAAAGATTAATCAGTGGTTTAGTTAAGTAGTTAAGATTTTCAGGTTTTAATCAGGTAAAATTCAGCCACCATAGCAACAAAATGTACTTAAAAATTGTTATGTTTCAGTGCCATTAACATATTAGTATGACATAATGATCATCAGTGGTGGAAGAAGTGTTCACATCTTTTACTTCTGTGGTAAAAACACAATCTAAGAGTGCACAAGTTAAACTTCTGGATTCCAGAGTATTATCATCAAATTAAATGTAACATACCAAATAAAAACCAAATAACATGTATGTATGAAATAAAGAAAAAGAAGCCCAGTCATTTTACAGAGTGCCTGTTATTAGAGTGTAATTATTGATACATTACTATGAAAGCATCACTAATGTGGCTGGTGGTAAAAGTGCGGCTAGTTTTAATTACTTTACTGCCAAGAGAGGTGTAGATTTCGGGAGGGACACAGGAGACACGTCCCCCTTAATATGTAGAACACATACATCAGTACCCCCACCCTGCCTCCGCCCCAAAATAAATTTTTATTTTGACAAAATTAGAGACAATTACACCATAAATTGATGCAAAAGTAAGAAAATTTCCATTTAATTAAGTGATTTTGATGCTCAGAATATTGTGGCGGAGGGCTTCCCAAACCCCCCAACTGCAGGGTAACCAGTAAATAAAGGAGTAAAATGGACAATATTTCCCTCTGACATGGAGTACAGTAGAAATATAAAGTAAAAGAAATACACAGAGTAGGCGTAAAATTACTCTGTTTCATTCCCACGGATGTATCAACGCAGCATCAAACACTAAATTTCCTGCATTGTGGTGATCTTTTAAGGCACCAATTTGTGCCTTTTCTTCATCATTTTAGAGTATAAATGTCTATAAGTTTGACAAAATAAATGTCTGAAATCAACACCTATGCATTTGTGCAAGTAGTAATAGAGCACATAGCAGGCTATACTTTGATTTATTTATTGAGGGAGGGGGCAAATGCACATGCTTTAAGTATTGATAGGACGTGTCCCCTGTGTCTCCCACGAATTTACATCTATGTCTCAATAATAAAACTATCTCAACACTGTTTCTTTAGCATCAGAAGTCAAATGGATCTTGTCAGGCTGAGACTGTAATGATAACTCACCGTCTCTGTCTTGCACTGGGCTGGTTTCTCTGCTTCAGGTACCACTTGGTTGGTGATGGTGCCGCTGTTGAAGTTGGGGCTTTTGTCCTGTTTGTCCACTCTGATCAGCCGGTTGATGTAAGCGTTGGCAGACGGGGAGCTTTTCAGAGGTCTGTGCTGCTCCTCAAACACCGGCTCCGCTTTGGAGTTCTTGCGACTTTTCCCAGACAGGAGCGTGTCCCAAACTTTGCCATCCTTCGCAGAGCTGACACCGTTTCTGCTCAACTCCACGGCTGAGTTCTTTCGGTTTCTCCCGGACAGGAGGGACCCAACTCCTCCACCTCCTCCGCCTGTGTTGTCACTAGACGAGTTTTTGCGATGGCTCGTTTTGGAGCCTGGTGTTTTGGTACCAATGCTGGCCACCAGCCCGGCTTTATTGGCTCTGGGTTGTGAGCCTGACTCGGAGGCTGAGCGGATCCTGTCGGTACCATTCTTCAGATTGATGGGGAACTCCTTGAACCACTTTGCCATTGTAACTCAGATGGAAACCAATAAAGCTCTGTGCCTGCTCCGACACCTTTTAGCGCCATACACCACAGGGCCCCTGAGACGCACCTTTAGAAATCACAGCCTTTCTAACAAAAGACTTCCGTTGCTTTATTCAGGGATAGAGCAAAGACTGCAGGATCTCCACACCTCAGTGTCATAAATGCTCTCTAAAGTCAATGGCTCTAAACTTTTAACTTAAAAAAAATGCTGGTAAAACTTATCCCATTTGGCAAAAGAAAAAAAACGACTTTATCCCATTTGTGGTTTTCTTACACCTGTTCCTTCTTCTGCTCAGAGGAAAACTTTATTCCCTTTGGATGAAAAGATGTCTTCGGAGTTGGAAGAGCCGAAAGAAGGCAAAGTTTTTCTTGCATCTGATTTGTGGTCCCATTCCCAGAGAGGCTTATCTGGTCTTTTTACAACCCTCCACTGTCGCAATGAGGCTCCTGACTGCGCCTGGAGTAAAGAGGGGAGGGGGTATCTGGAGTTCAGAGGGGGGAGGCAGGACCGGTGGGCGGTGATAAGCTTTAATTGTGGACAGCATGGACAAATAACTATTTGGGGAGTTTAGTATTCTGCTTTAGACTGACTCAGGCCTGTGCATAGGTAACTCACCAAAGATATTAAAACCTGTATTATTCTTTGGCTTATAATGAATGCAGCCTCTGTTTTAACTACGGTAATAATGATATACAAAATTGCTATTGAGAATTTAATTTTCATTGTCCTCTGACGCATGAATAATCAAATACTGGGGCATCTTAGTGGGGGAAAGGTGGGACTGATTACCCAGGGCCCCAGTAGGAGGGGGCCCCTTGAAAAACCTGGATGAAACATTTGATTTTGATTGGCTTTTGTTTATTAGTGTCATAAATTAATCAAAATGGCTGAATAAATCCGTTGAAGGACTAAAAAAAATAGTGGAAGCTCTCTGGGGTCCCTCTCACGCCTTAAAGGACAAAATGGTTTCCATCATTGCACTAAGTTTGTCAGTAAATGCAACTGAAGCCAAATGAGTATGTCTTTCCCCAAGAAAGACACAGAAACAGGGGCACAGAAACAGCTTCTGCATGGGGCCCAGAATTAAGTACTATGCCCTTGGTAAACAGCATTGTAAAATTACCATTTGGGGAGTTTAGTAATCTACTTGAGACTGATATGCCCATGCCCATGAAACCCACCACAGATATTAAAACCTGTATTATTATTTGGCTTTATAATTAATGCAACCCTTGTTCTAACTAAAATATAATACGTACATACAAATTAAATGGCTATTGAGAAATTGCAGTCTATAGAACTTCCAAAATGCTGGTATTTCAATAATTGTATTTATCCTCTGGCGCATGGTTGATCAAACATCTGTACATAGCTGTTTATCCATTCATGCTAAAGTTTTTCAGATAACGATTAAAATTGAAGTTGACAGGTGTGTTCATATTATGATGTTGGGTGTTAATTCCATATTAATCATAATGTCAGTTCATAATGTGCCTAATTGGTTGTCTAATTAATGTCCACCCCTTCTTTAATTGTACAGAGTATGGTTGGGAAATGGTCTGTTCTGACCTGCTCCATATTTACCGGAGAAAGGTACGACACTAATTTTGTAAGTTGAAAAAAATACTTTTGGTGGCGGTGATACGCATAGTTTTTCCAAACAGTAATATTATAATTGTATGCAGTATACAATACAATCTGTGTTTTATAGGTTATATGTGAAAATGCTTTTTATATTCATGAAGTATACTTATCGACACCCCCGTGTTTGCGGTGAGATGTAACCTTCCATGGTGCGCGATACTCCTGCTTGTCCCTCTTTGTCCGGTGGCGATAGAAGGCCATGATAATTATGGCAAAATTTGCGTTTTTGAATGAATTATAGTTGAATGGTGGATCAACAAGCATACACCGTGTGAGGACTGGTTTGCTGGCAATGACACACCAGAGAGTTTCAATTTAAAGGACAGCAGAGCAAGCAACGGAGAAAGGGTACAGTTTGCTTCCAAGACAGTCTGCAAGATGGCTAGCTATCTTCAGTGGCATGCTAACGTTAGCTAGCCAGCTAATGTTAGCATAGTAAACAACAGTTTTCAAAACATGGTCGATTGCTTTATCTTATAAATGCTGTGATAAGTGGAATTAAATGCACGTGTTCACAAATGACTGTAGAGGGAGAAATAACAGTTTCGGATTAATGTTCTAGTGTTGCCGCTGCTGGGTGAAATCTCAACGCTGCTAGCTAGCCACATTGAGTAACGTGGCTAGCTAGTTAGCCAAGGTAGTAACTAGCTTGCGTTAGCTAGCTGGTCGACTTCTTTGCTACACATCTGTAAGTGATCATTCATAGAGGGAGGGGGTGCTCTGTAACTTGCTTGTGCTGGCAGTCAAGCCAGGTAGCAAGCAACCAGTTTGACTCACTCAGTAGGAACTGGAGACGAACTAGTGCTAAATAGCGTGGACCAGCTCAGTTTTACCTGACGTTTATTTGGTGACCAAATCCCGGCGTGACAGACACCGTGGCGAAAGATTTGCAGCTGTAAAGGAGTTTGCAGACCTGGGCCGGCGTTATTATATAATGTACGTGTTAGTTACTGCTGTGATGATAACCATTTTAACGTTATTGACATGACCTGAAGGCAGAATCCACCTACTCGGCTCATAGCCTTCAAGACGTCGTCATTTTTAACTTTTTTTTTCTTGCATATGCACGGTGATATGCCACTTCACCGACAGTCATATTAGCTAATGGCTGCCGAATCGGGGAGACTACTGGCGGGACACGGAAAACGAAGCAAAGGTAGGAATTTATTTCACCCATCTCCCAATCAGATCGGAATCATCCATTACTGCGCTGCAATGGGCTGCACTGGTGCTGTTAGCAAATCCCTTCTCGCCTCCCCCATATGTAAACTTCACGACTGTCTCCGGTGGTGGCTGTTTCTCACAGAGTGGATCTGTGAACGGGGTTCATGTCTATCTTGCTATAAATGTACCTTCAACTCCGTTTCCTCGTTCTCATGTCTTCGTCTTTTCCTGTCTCTCTCATTGACCTTACCTCTTCTGCCTCTGTTTGCGGCCTCTCTCCCTCTCGCCTGGGTCATTTGGTCTGCCTGGGTCATTTGCGATTCAAGGCTTCATAACCTTGGTGATGATAGCGCCTGGATGTTCAGCATCTTGTCCTCATGCCAGTCTATGTCCCATCATTGAATCCATCTCAACTGTTGGACTTGAAAAAGAGGCCCTAGGTCTAAAGCTGCTCCACTCTGTCACTAAGGGGTATTGGCCAATCCAAATGTGATGGTGCGCTTGATTGGTGGCGGACCAAAAGCATGAGACATGAAGGCCTGTTTTTGTCGTGGCTAATATTATATTTCCCCCTTTCCACCCCTTCCCTCCATATTTCATTATTTCAGCTTCACAGATGAAGAGCCCAGAGAAGAAAAAGGCGAGGAAATCCACCAACCAGGTAGAGTTTGTTTTTGAAATCTGATTATTTTGTTACATGAAGTAAACATTCTTTCATTATGTGACAAGTGGACCTTGAAGACTGACAAAAAAAGAGGATTTAAATTATTTGGTCTTACAAAAGCAATAAAAAAACACATTTATTCTGTGTGTTTTTTTTCTCCTTTGTTTCAGGCGGCAGGGTTCTCCCACCTCACTGAGTTTGCACCCCCTCCTACCCCCATGGTGGACCACCTGGTCGCCTCCAACCCCTTCGACGATGACTTCGGGCCCCCATCTCGACCCAGTGGAGCAGGTGGTCCAGGTGGTGCTCCATTTCTTCCCAGCCCAGGCGCAGGTGGAGGAGGTGGGTATGGCGGTGGAGGCAGAATGGGCGGAGGCATGGGTTTCATGGGAGGCCCGGGAGGACCAGGTGGTGGCCAGCCTGGACGGAGGCCACCGTTTGGCCCTCCAGCCAACGCTGGACCTCACCACCAGCTAGGCTTTGGAGGAATGCCTGGCTTTGGAGGTGGCGGTGGGGGCGGCAGTGGCGGAGGAGGAGGGGGTGGTGGATTCCCCCCTGGTGGCCCTTCTCAGTTCAACATGCCACCAAACTTCAGTCCACCCATGCACCCAGGGCCAGGATTCAATCCCATGTTGTCTCCGGGAGCTATGGGAGGTCCTGGAGGAGGGGGGCCACCCCACCCTCGGTTTGGCATGCCTCCACAGCAGCAGCACGGACAGGGTGGACACCCATTTAATAGCCCACCATTACCTGGTGGTGGAGGCCCCAGGGGGCCCCCACACGGCCCCCTGCCTCCCATGGGAGGAGGCATGGGTCCTGGGATGAACATGATGGGTGGAATGGGTGGTGGGCCCGGGGGCAACATGGTGGGAGGGTTACCAGGTATGCCCCCTCAAGGACAGTTCCCTCCCTCACAGGATGGGCCCTACCCTGGCCCCAGTCCACCAGGGCCAGGCAATGAGGACGGAAAGAACTTTGGTGGAGGAGGAGCTCCACCTGGGCCTCAGCAGCAGCAACAACAGCAGCAGCAACAGCTTAACCTAAATCCCAACGGCCCCCCTCCTAATAATACAACTCCTGGCCCTCCTCCTAACTCTGGCCCACCACAGCCAGGAGGAGGCTTCCCTGGCCATCCTGATGTCCAGCAGCCCAATGCCAATACACCTGGTCAGCCTCCATCAGCACCGCCACAGCCTAACCCCAACTCTTCTCCTACTGGTCCCCTGAATGGATCAGGCCAGCCCCAACATCCACCACCCAGTCAGCTACAACCCCCCAGCAATACAAACACCCCCAACTCTAACAGCTCTACCCAGCAGCAGCAGCAACAATCCACTCCACCTAACTCTGCCCCCGGCTCCACCCCGTACAACCAGCAGAACAACACTCCCGGTGCTGGTGGTACCATGCCAAACGCGGCCCCCAATTCGGGTCAGAACAACATGGCCAACAACAACGGAGGCAACACTCCAGGCAGCAATCCCAATCCCCCGTCTAACTCCACTTCGACCCCAAACACCCAGTCTCCCCTGCCCCCCGGTCCCGCTGCCCCCTCGACTGGGCCCGGCTCTGGCCCCGGAAAACTCGGCGGCCCCGGGATGGTCTTCCCCTGCGGCCTCTGTATGGCAGAGGTGCATGACGATCAAGACGCCATCTTGTGCGAAGCGTCGTGCCAACGCTGGTTCCACCGTGACTGCACAGGCCTGACAGAGCCAGCATACGGGCTGCTGACTCGAGAGAGCGCTGCCGTTTGGGCCTGTGACTTCTGCATCAAGACCAAGGACATTCAGGCTGTGTTTGTACGCCAGGGATTAGGCCAGCTGGTGGCAGCTAATGAGAGTTGAGGAGTGGATGACAAAGAACAGCGTGGAGGTGCATCATAAAAGGACAAATAAAGACATTCTTTGCTTCGATCTAACTGAATGACCTGTGTGTCATGTCAGCTACTTGCCCAACTTTCTCTTGACTAGCCCTTTACTTGTTCACTACACAGAACCTCACTCATTGACATTCATGCTTATATATAGCACTTTGAGTGACTCTTGGTAACTGATTTTTCTCCCCCTCCCCCCCTAAAGGAGTCAAATCATGATGAATGTTAAAGTTCACAGTCCTTCAAGACATTTAGCCTGCCAACCAGCAAAGCACTGACACCAACACACTACCTCACACTTTGTGACTGACTGGCACGGACGCTCTCGCACTGACTGTGATTGACACGCCACACTCATGCACCACATGACTATAGTGATATTTGAAACACAATCCAGTGGAGAAAGTACTGTTGAACTATTCCCTTGCTGTGTATTGACACAATGACTCAAAGCATCAGCGTTACTCTGATTTTTGTGGCTTTAAATTAAAACAGACATGATATATAAAATTTTAAAATTGAAAAAAAAATAATAATAATTTAAAGAGTGCCTGAAAATCTGAAAGGGACTTGGGTTTCATTCATGGATTGATTCACAGCTTTATTTGCCATCAAAATGATTCATTCTAGCACTGCCCTGTCACATTGTTAGCCTTTTTACTGCAAGGAATTTAAAGAAAATGGAAAAAATACTTCAGTATATTGCAGCTTAGAAGTGTTTGGGGAGAGAAAAAAACAGTTTTTAACTTTTCTTCCTGCTCTCACACACACACACACACACACACACACACACACACATACACACATACATACACTTTTGCCACATACATCTTGTTTCTGTCATTTTGTACGTAGTGCTGATTAATCCAAAGGAGACCCTGGCCGAGACTTCATCCACACCTCACAGAGAGGATTTTACCACCGAAATAGTTGTAAATATTAGGACAAAACATTTGTCTGGAGCTCCCATCAGTTGTGAACACGCCACAGAGTTGACCAATGAACAAATAATAAGTTGTTTAACTTACGTGTCTTGGTTGTAAACAGTATGACATTTTGGTTTTTATACAGTACATTTGAGTCAACGATTTCTTTTTATCTCTGCAGTACACATGAATTGTGAAATCAGTGCTTTTGGATGGTGTTGGCATAGCAAGTAGTGACATCATGTCATATCAGATGTGCATAGTCCTTTACAAAAAAAGAAAAAGACAAAAAAAGAGTGGGGGCGGGGGGTGCATGTGAACCAATGCAGTAACTGTCTGATCTGTTTATGTTTATATTCTGGCCTCTGCACTGCATGAGGCCTCGAAGTAGACCAAATAACTTAAGAGCGAACAATACCCATTTTCACATTTCTGTCACGGTATAAGGTGTTTATAACTATTCTTCTGTCTCTCTCTTCCCTTATTTTTCTTTATTCAATGTCCAAGTTGCCTTTCTTTTCTTGCTCTCTCAGCTGTTCCTTTTTTTATTGAGTACTGGTATTTTGTGCTGTGCTCTTGCTCTGCTCTGGTGCCTCCTGGTGGAACCCGGAGGAACCAGTGAGTCCCACACCAGGTGGGGAAGGGAAAGGTACTGAACTCTGAAGTAAAGACAGATTTTTTTTGTACTTGTCCATGTCTGTTTTTATTCACATTTTTTATTTGTTTGCTAATTGTTGTATTAAAATGAGGGTTGGAAAACCCAACAAAACAGATGACAATGTAATTTCTTTGTCATAATGCTCAAGAGTTGCAGCTACATGACCTTTTTATTAACTGTGTTTACAGGTTAATTTTTCCTAGGTCATCAGTGATTTGCTTTAAAGGTTTCTTCTCAGTTTATTGTTAAATTGATTTGAAGAAATGATTAAGACATTTTGCAACAGTTCGGTTTTGTAAAGCTTTGTGAAATAGCTCTTGGGATTTTTAAAGGTATACTATGCAGGATTGTCAGGTACTGTTTGTAGACTCAAACCCAGATTCATTCTCACTTAATATTTTTGTCTCGCTATATTTGTGTTTTTCCCAGCGTTGTGTCTCTTGGATGCTCTCTGCTTACAGCCTGCTGTGAGCTTACATGCCTGTAAACATCCCTAACACAGAAAATTAGACAGAAATACAAACAGAGGACAGAGTCTCTGCAGAAAAATACACCTCTAGTGGGTCAGAAGTGATGATTAAGAGAGGGATTACTTTTGTCTGAGTCTTGTTTTTTCCGAAAATTCTGCCTGCTGTTTACCTGTCCAAAAAAGTAAAACTTGATTTCATGGGTCTGTAAATTCTTAAAATGTCCTAATAGTTTCCAAGAAAGTTTCCTGAACAAAAAAGTAATCTGGCACTAATTGTATGCAAAGTAGAGACAGTGTTCAGTTGGTACACTTCAAGTTAATTACAATTAAATGTTAAAATAGCATAACTAAGAAAATTTTGATCATATCACAGGTCAGGTGAACATACAAAAATGAATTGTCAAAAGATCAATAGTGGTTAGTGAGGCTTCTAGAGATAAATAATTATGATAAATATATACCTTGGAGCTGTTCTCTCAAGAGAATTTCTCTGTCAGGGTTCCCATGGATCTGTAAAAAGCCTTAAAAGGCATTGATTTAATCTTTAAAAAAGGCCTTAATTGATATTAAAGATGTCTTAAATCAGTCTTGCAGAAGTGTTAAAAATACAAAGACTGGGGAAGTAGTTTATCGTTTTTAGGTTGCATTGTGCTCAAAATATTTGACATCAAAAAAATTTGTCCCTAACCCTGAGTAATTGTTGCCGGTTCTTTTCCTTTTGCTTTCACTCTCTTTTCAATTCAAGTCATTGTAATTGGTCTTAAATTTATAATAATAATAAAATGAATTATAATAATTAAATTTAAATCCAAGTACCATATAAAAGTATTAAATATGACTTGCCTTAAGGTGTAGAAACCCTGTTATTGTCCCCAATTATGTCTCTATTTTGCCTGTATTATAGTAGCAAATCACACAATTCTTCTTTCCAGAAAACTAGACACAAATGATACCCTTAACAGTGATGTTATACATTTAGTAGCCTTTCGATATACATATATTTATATATGTACAGATGATGTAAGATGATTTATTATAGGTCATATGACAAAGAGCAAAATATCTTAAAAGCTCAATTATACTCTATAGACATAGTTAAAAATGTAACTCAATGGGCATACAGGCTTCAGTGTAGCTTTACAAACTAAACAACAATGTAAACTAACTGGAATAACCATGTTCCTGTCAGTATGTCATTAGTTTAGCCTCAGCAGTGATCAGCATTTCTCCTGCTCTGCACTGGTGTTGGATAAGATTATAGTCCGATACTGCCATGCAAACACTTCAAAACTGATTGATAAAATATTTCTCCCAACGCCTCTGTAGAAATGGCTCACACGCGCGCACACGCACACACACTGTATTAATGCATATGTGTGTGCACAGAGATGAAACTGAGCCCCCAGCAGGCACCGCCTCCTCGGGGAGCCGCCCACCAATGAAATCGGTCCTGAGGCGGGACGATGACTATCCGATGTGCTGGCAACAGGTTGCACTGGTAGCGGGGGAGAAATTTCCCGGTGTCCTCTGTTCATTGAGTAACATCTTCCCATCCCACCAACACAGTACAGAGCCGCCGCTGCCGCTGCTGCTGCTGCTGCTGCTGCTGCTGAGAGCACCGACACAGGAGCTGTGGCTGAGGACGGAGGAACATCTCTGGATCATCCGTGCAGGTGCACTAAGTGTTCACACAGCTGTTTTACTGTACGTTTACTTTAGTGGGGAAAGTGTAGTGCTGCGAGCCCCGATGTGCTGAGCGGGCGTTTTATAGCATTCAGACAGGCAGAGGTGGACACCTGTGGCTTTGTGATTGGATTTGGCAGCCGTCTTCCCGTGCTCAGCTTTCCTGCTCACGATAATGATCGAGCATCGGTCCTTTTGTTGTTGGCTTTCAGCTGTGTGCGCTCCGCTGCTGTCTATAATTGGATCTGACTGCGCGGCGCAAAGAGGATATGAGGGGTTATTATAGCAGGTAAAGGCTTCAAATAGGATGGGGGGCAGGTGCTTGGCTTGTTTACCTTGTTACCCGGCTTGTGGTCCCACTGGCGCGAGGAAACAACCTGGTGGTTTCGACGCGCACCGATACTGACTGACCGGACAGGTGGGTGTGACGCAATTAATCCCGGAGCAGACAGGTAGCAAACACAGGGGGGTTACTCTACTACTCATATGGCTTCCCCTGAATAAAGTTATTGATATGAATATGTAAGTGATATTTTTTATCAGTCAAGCTGTTTAAATAATGTCACACCTGCAGATAAAACACAACGCAGGCACTGTGTTGGTTTGATACGTGGCTGTGATTCCGGGATAAACAGATAAGCCTGTGATAGTGCCTCATATCCTTGCCAACATTATAGTTTACAACTCACCAGCTGCTGGAAGGTGTTTGTGTTGCCTGTTGCCTTACATTTAACATAAGTTGCTCCAGAAATAATCATTACATAAACTTTGTGCTCGGGGGCACGCTTCAAGCTCATTTGGAGATGTTTAGGTAAACACGTGCCTTCAATGTGGGACAAGTGTTTGCATGTTGTTGATACTGTACACAAGAGAAACTGCATCTGCCTCTCCAGCACAGCCCTCAGTACAGGTCACTATAATGTGTGTAGTTTGGCTTTTCTGTTTTTACTGTACTCACCCAGGAGCAAATGTTATGTATTTAAAATATATGTTTTAGATATCAAATAATGCTGGGTGGTAGTTTAGTATGCACTGATTTTGACTGGAATTGAATGGTGATGTGTTCATAGTGTGATTGTTTCAAAATTCTGCTATCTGAATTATTTATTCCAAGGATAATATACTTAAAGGAGCTCTATATGACATTCAGAGCATTTATATAGCAACAAACAGCTACTTGCTCTGTAAAGATCTAGCTGAGTAATGGAGTTCTGGGCAGAGAATGAAGTCATGCTACCGCTGCGTGTGTTGTAATCCTAGTTTCTCTGTTCTAGGGTTGCTGCAATATACCGGTTTCAAGGTATACCATGATATAATAGTTGACGGTTAACATACCGTGTTCATTTGCTCATCTGTGATATTGAAAAAAAATGCAATTGGATGGAGAATCTCCCTTTGATTTTAGTTATTTTAAGTACTTCCCTTAACAACATAATGTCAAGTTTCAATTATAGTAATAAAATGTTTGTTTAACTGTAAATAACCCCTCCATTTTCATTCCTTAATGGGTCATTGTGATTGATAACAATATAAATTCTGTAATGCTGTGAAACCACAATATTTTCTGAGACAGTTCTCATACCGTTAAAATCTGATACCGTTGCAACCCTGCTCTGTTCATTGTGCGTGCGTGTTAGTGCATGTGAGTGTTCCACTGGCTAGCTTATCGCCACCACTCTGCATTGCACTCAATAATTTCCCCTCTGGGATAAATTAAGTATTTCTGATTCTGATGGCAGTTACCACTGATAACGAACGGCATCGTTGCAGAAGCGTAGCCTCCACCCTCCAGCCCCTACCACCTAGGTTAACACCGTTAGCTCTGTCAGCACTGTTGCGGTTGTTATGGTGCGTTCCATTTGCACTGAGTGGTTGGGATTTCTGCATCGCTAGTCACAAATTTCAACTGGAACGTCCCCTGAAGTCGGATTTCCGACTGGGATGGTTGGAGGAACCTCAGCAACCCTAACCTCAGAATCCAATATGGCTGTCCCAGGCATCAACAGTAGTGAAATCTGTAGTAATATACAGTTTATTAGCACTTCCGTCTTATCAGTGTTTCATTAAAAGAGTCTTATACACAGCCCTGTCCAACTGCGCATGTTGTTATGGTGTTTGTATGCGCAAAATACAGCGTTATGCTTTCCTGCCAACTAGTATTGCTAACAGTGGCTAACCTCGCTTGAACTGGTACCAGCATCTTGGTTTTCCGACTTGTACTGGCACGTGATCAACTCAGATGTGACGTCATTCCTAGTTCCAACCTCCAACTTCCAAGGTTAACGGAACGCAGCACTGGCACTGCTCACGCTGTTAGCACTGTTAGGTGCGAGCTGCTGCCTCAGCATGGCAACCTTCATGTTGAGAGCCATGTGCAGACAACCTCTAAATCAGAGTTTTCTCTGAATACCGTACAGAGGTCCTTTAAAAAAAATTAACATTACTTGAGTCAGGTTTGTTTTGCATGTGTTAAGATTTACATCTGATGTAATGCATCATACTCAAACATAGGTAATCACAGTGAACATCAGATTATTTTATATTATGTGCATATATTATGACTCAAATCAAATCAATTTCAGGAACATGTTCATTAGGGTTGAAACTAATGATTATTTCGATTATAGATTAATTTATCAATAGGCTATAAAATATCTGGAAATAGTGAAAGACTGTCAGAGTCCAAGTTGATGTGTCATAATTGTTTGTTTTGTCCAACCAACAGTCCAAACACTAATGATATTCAATTTACATGAATCTGAAAACAGAGGAAAGCAGGAAATCTTCATTTTTCGGGGGTTGAACCAGTGAAAGTTTTGAGATTTTGCTTGGAAAAGGTCTTAAACAATTGTTTCCAATTACTTCTCTGTTTACTGATAAATCAACTAATCTAGTATAAAGTCTACTGACACCGATTTTAACCAAATCTCACAGCCCTTGCTTCAAAGTAGCTCTTCTTGTTC